GGGACCGCCGACGCAGGCGGGTCCCCGGCGCCAGCTGGCGGCGGCGACGAGCCACAGCGGAAGCGGCCGCGTATGCTCGCCTTGCCATCGGCGCCCCCCGCTGTGCGACAGTTGCCGGCTGCAGCCATGGCAAAGCCAAAAGCTGTGGCCCCGTCGGCTCCACCAAACGCCGCGCCAACGCCCGCCGGAGCCCCGCCCAGCAGTGATGCGGCTGTGCCTGTCGCGGCGACAGCGGCGGCGCCGCAGCCAGCAGGGGCAGCTGCAGCAGCCAAGGATCCCTATGCAATTGACTACAGCGGCTTTGAAAGCCCCGACAGCGACTGACCAGGACACTAAACTCCTTTCACATGCAAACTTCCATCCTGCGACCGCCACAATGCTGGCTGCCAAAGCAAGCGGCTGCCCGGCAGCTCCCTGCCCGACGACGGTGGGCCGTTGTGTCTGTACTATATTGTTGTCCATAAGTGCAGAGGGGCTGAGATGCCTCCATGCGGCGTGCCCGCGGTTTGGCCGCGGTCCCAGTAAGTCTCGATTGGCTTGTTGCTAGTGGCCAGGTGGCGGACCAGGCACATCTTATGTCTAGAGGTGTGACGATATGAAGCTCTTTCAATCAACACTCATGCTGATCACAACTGAGGGGATACCAGCATCCCGCACGCAGCCCGTCAGATGCGGATTGCACACCCCAAACTCCTCCCGCTTCAGGCCAGGCTGTGGCAGACATGCTCAGCGTCTGGGTGGCCCAGCCCCCTGCATGCTGGCCACCCAAAGTTGGCCCTGAAACTAAAGTCCCGCATTTCCTGCTGCATGCTGCCCAACCACCACTGCGTTGGTCGGCAATACCCCCAAATGAGCGACGCGCACGCACTTTTGAGGACGGGGACCGGAAGTAGGGGGGGCAGCCACGGCATTGAACGCCCGTGCTTGCGCATTTTCTGTATGTCTTAACCGGCGTCCCCCAAGCAAGGCATTTAGGCCGCTGCCCAGGTGCGATGCAGTGTCACATGCATATGACAGTCAAATCTACAAGACTAACACAGAAGTTTTTCCAAACTGATAAGCTCATGAGCGGCACTGTTGTGGCTTGGTGACCGGTGCCATGCAACCATTCATCTGGACCTGCAATCCATCAGCCGGCAGGACAACTACGTGAATGAGCCGCTTCCTGTCTTTGATCTCATAGCAAGCTTGCCAACGCTCAAGCATTGTGGCTGGCGAGGCTGTCATTCTGGGCACTGCAGCTATGGCGGCGCAACAGCAGGGCCCACGCCGCGAGCTGCGGCGGGTCATCTGCACAAGGTGCCGCCCAAAACAGTAGTTGAGCCTGCGAATGGCTAGCAAATGCAAGCCGGCGATTTGCCTGTGGTATCAGGATTGCACCACGCAACGGAACGCAGTTTGCACCGGTAGGCCCGCGCTGCTGGATGCCAAGTTCATCAATCCGCAATGACTTGCCTCTGCCCTGCTGTGCTTGTGGACACACGCAGCATTTCTGGGCATGATATACGTACACGCAATTTCCCCGGGATCCTCAAATTTGGTAGTGGATTCCAGACTGTTGTTGCTGCTGTGATGACCGCGCTGGTTTGGGTTGTGGCGCTGCGTTAGCTCAAGAGTTACCCAGCAGCACTCACTTCATGCAGTGTCTATCCCAGGGTCGCAAGCAGAAGGAAATGTCCCTTAGTAAAGAGGGTAAACCTGGGCCTGGACGATTGAACTGCAAGGATTTCAACAGCCCGCTGGCACCGCGCCTGTGACCACTCGCGGACTGGTCGCGGCTGAGCCGACCTGGTGACCGGTGACGAGTGACAAGGGGGCGGCAGGCCGCTTGCGTTGCACAGCTGGGCGGGATCTAGAAGCCGCTATTTTCTTGTCAGATTTGAGGAGGCCTGACATCCGCGGTGCGTCGCTCACCACGTCCAGGAAGGTGCAGTGGGCGAGTTTGGGTCGGGTTTTGTCGGGTTAGGGGCACCTATCTAGCCCGTCAACACGTTTGGGACGCACCAAATTCTGTCGCCGTGCGCACTAAGCTTGTCAAGTGGTTCGAATCCCCAGATCCAGCGTGGCCAAGTAGTGCCGCCGCTCGCAGGACATCGCTGCCCAGGTGTGAATCCCAAATCACGTGCTTTTGTCCTGTATTGTCTACTATCACTCCACGTCGGCAGCGCTGCACAAGCACGGCGGCCATGTCTGGGCGGTGACGCCCGCGGTTCGCCCCCTACCATCCATTGATACGCCGTGCCCGCCTCGACATGCCCCGCAACACCAAACTGGCAGGATCACAATGCGCTGCCTCCTGCTGCTGGCCCTCCTTGCGGGGGTGGTGGCCGGCAAATCCGTGCACTTGGGCACGGCGCCCGCAGCGCTGCAGGCCCCGCGCCGCGAATTGCGACAGTCGGTCAACTGCGCCAAGTGCAAACCCAGCTACGGCATGCGGATGAGGATGGCTGGCAAGTGCGAGGCAACGGTCTGCCTGTGGTTCCAGGCCCGCGGCGCCAAGGATAGCACTTCAATGTGGTGCGTGGGTCTACCTGCCGGAGGTCTTCTGGTGCACCTGTTTGGGTTTGGGGGAGGGGCCTCAGGGGCACATTGGATTGGATTGGCTCCTATCACCTTTGTTGTGTAGTGTCAGGCACCGGTATCGGTGCAGTCTCGGCGGCAGATGCTATACGGGGCAGGCAGCTGCTGCACCTGTCTCAAAGCGGGACACCACAGGGTCGCGCTGCACCAAGAGGCGGCAGCTACGTACTTGTTGCACATGCGTTGCCAATGTCTGCACAGCCTGCTGCCAGAGCCAAGCTGCACACCTCGCAGCCGCCCACCTTCCACCATCGCTGCAGCCTCATCTTCTCACTGCCTGATCAAGGCACCACCCTGCAAGATCATCACCGCGGCGTTCGCGATATTGCAAGCCGCGCCTCCCGTCCACCCTCCCAACCCCGCAGCTGGGACCTGGACGCCCAGTGGACAAACCTTCTGATCAAGAACGCTCCCATTTCCATTGACACCAAGTTTGACGTCTACTGGGACTACGAGAACGAGGCGGATGAGAAATCCGCTGTCCTGGTGCTGGACAAAATCAACGACGACTGCTGGACCCAGTGCAAGGTGATCTCTGGGTACGAGGCAAAGATCGCTTGCGAATGAGGGGCGTCGGCAAAACACAAACAATGCGGCAAGTATGAGCCTTGGATGCTGCAAGCGTCTGCGCCCTTCGTTGACAGGCGCTCCCGTGGCCACGAGGGGCCCCAGGGCCGTCCGACAGATGTTGCCGCGGCTGGCCAGCATCTGTATGGTTCGCCGGCTCCAGGGGGCGGGGTGCTGTGCACGGCGGCACGCATTTCAAAACTGCAGTAGCGTATCTAGTCAGCGAGGGAATGGGTCCAATGACTGGCAGATGTACACGAACGTGTCTTGATTGCAGCGCTCCTTGCCGAAGCGCTCCAGGCCCGCGTTGAGCAACAGATTGTTTAGATGCTGATGCATTTGATCAATGTACATGATGTGCGCGGCCAGCTGCTTGGCACATTGGCTGGCAGTGCCAATGCCATCGGGCTTGGGCATCCTTGTCTTTTGCCACTTTCAGCTACGCACTTGTATGGATCAACCAGCACATGCCACCACACATGCGGTAATAAATGTAAAGAGGATTTTGTTTGAACGCTCTGCACAGCTTGTTGTGCTCGCTCGCTGAAGAAAACTGTGACAGATGCATCTGCACCAGCGCCAAACTTTGACTTGAGAGCGGGGCTTGGACAACATGAAGGAAGACGCAAGGGTGTGCAGACAGACACGAGGAGGTTCGGCCCTTGTCCCAGCCGCAGGGGCCATCACACACTTGCGCATGGTGCCGTTTGGGTCGAAAGCCAGGGTACAGGTCTACAAAGTGTTTCTTGTGGGACGCTGGCTGCAGGGTGTGAACAGTGTGGCTCAACGCATTTTATTTCAATGAAATCTGGGCACGGGGCGCTGCACGTGGCTGCCTGTTGTGCATGGGCTCACGGGTGAGAACGCAGGTGTAGCCCTGCAGGGCTGCACATGATGCGTGGACTGCAGCTGCAGCCTATGCATGCATGCACCGGGGCTGGCCCCAGTGCCGAGCACGCAGTCGCACTCTTTTCGGGGATGAAGCTGACATTGCAGCCTGTCGCAGTAGGCCCTGCTTGCGCGCACGCCCTGGAGTTTGAGGGCGGCGAGCAGCAAGCAGGGCGAACGGAACCGCAGTCCCAATCGGCTAGCAACAGCACGTCGACTGCACAGCGGTTTCTACGTGCAAGGAAACCAGTGATTTTCACATTTTCTAGTTGCAGCCTGAACCTTGAGCAAGAAGAAACACGCTGTGTTCATGCAGAACTCAACACGGGATGCGGAACTCAACACATGCTCATCTTCACAGTCCACTGTCCCCACCAGAAGTGACTGCGATGACACTGCATAGCCTAGGGGGCGATGCACTTGGGATACGCAGAGCTGACTGTCATATGCTCTTATGAAATATCAGCAGACAAGCGAAGCAAAGGCCACCTCACACACTCGGGAACGTCGCTGGCCGCGGCCCGGAAGCTGATTCAGTGATAGAGTGATACGGTGCCGGTACCCAGATTAGGGGTGCAGGAATAAAGACTATGCTCGCCTTTCGAAGCCACATCAACTCCCTGCAGCAACACACCCGCACAAGAAGCCCAGATCTGATATCCTGCGTGTGATTGGGCCCAGGAAACACAGGACGTCCCCTCTGAAGGTGTGGCACGCATCAGTGTGGTTTCTTTGATGCTGAAGCTGTGACGGGCCTACTGCGGAGGGCTTGGCATGGACACGGCCGGCTGGCCGCCGATGACAGCCAAGTCACCCGGCCTCTCCCGGCCACCACGCCGCAAACTCCGCAGGACGCCGTCGCCTCCATGCAGCGTCTCGCCTTCCTCATCGTCTTCATGGGGGCGGCAGCTGGCGAGGCCGCGCGCCTCGCCGGCGTCGCGAAGGGGCCCCCCCTGACGCAGCACCAGACGTCACGCCGCGAGCTGCGCCAGTTCGCGGACCTCGCCGGCGCCATCGTGGGCGGCGCCGTCAGCGGTGCCGTGCGCGGCGGCACAAACGCAATCCTGGCGCCCCCCAACCGTGGCGCGACAACTGTGGTCCCCACGAGGGGCAGCGGCAGCAGCGGCGGCGGTAGTAGCGGCGGCTGCAGCAGCTGCCGCCCCACCTACACCCTGCGCGTCCGCATGAACGGCCGCTGCACGCATAACATCTGCTTCTGGTACACTGACCGCAACAGCCGCAATGGTGTGAATGGTTGGTGAGTGCGCCGGGCGCGGGTGCGGGCCGGCAAGTAGGGGCCATGGGTTCGGGGCCGAATACCCCAGCTGCCCGCTGCGCACGGCTGTCGCAGACGCTGCTGGCGGACTTTGGCGTTTGATGTGGTGCTTGTCGTTGCCGCTGCCAGGCCAGCATATCTGTAGCCGGCGCTGTCTGTTGCGCTTACTTTGAGGGAGGCTCGGGTGCAGAGGGGCAAAGAATACAAACTGACGCCCCGCTGGCGGCCAAAAGCGCGCAGCTCGAGCGCGTCAACACGTCTTTGACCGGCCCCGCCGGCCCCTCCCCCCTGACCAACCCCAGCTGGGACATCAGCAGCTCGTCGTCTAACCTCGTATACGAGGGCACGCCAGTATCCTTGGACGAACGGTATGACGTCCACTACCAGTACGGCGCCGACGCTGACGAGGACTCGACAGTCATGAAGTTCACACCCATCAAGACCCCCTGCTGGACCAACTGCAAGGTGCCGTCCGGCTATGAGGCCACGTTCGACTGCTGATGCTCGGCGCATAAGACGACCGGGAAGGCGGCGCGTGATGCGACTGGGGCCGCTTCGGTCTGCTTGGGTCGGCACACCTATCACCATTGCACTGCCCAGGCCTGCCTGCCTCAAGCCTAGGGCGTTCGCGACTTTTGTTATCTCTAAGTCGAGGGCTTATTGAACTTTTTGTCGGGATTGCCCGCTCTCTAGGCCATCAGTAGCCTGCTTCACACGCACCCTGTGCGCCCCAAGCGCTGTCGGCGGTGCCAAAATCAAAGCATGCACTGTTCCGACGCATTGCCTGGCTCGCCCCCAGCGCACCTGTTGTCGCACCCTCCACATGCAACATTGCCTGCCGCAGCTGCCCTGCAATACACTGGCCCCATTTTATCTTGCTGTGCTGCCTGCATTGCAGTGCCCTGCAACTGATGTAGAATTAAGTCCTTTCAGCAGGCAGACAGTTTGAGCAGCTGCACAGACTTGTATTTGGGTGCGCCCGCTTTGCTCATGGTGAGACACGCACCTTACTGGCTGCTGGCTCTGATTCAGGGTAATTTTGCTGGATGGCTGACAAAAAAAACTGACACATGGTGGTGTGCGGGCTCATGGCGATGGCCGTCCTGCAGCAGGGGCACTAAGATTACACAGGTGTAGGATTCTGACTCGACAGAGAGAAGCTGTGTACAGCAAAAAGTGTGTCGTGCGCGCGTGCGCATCGTTTGATGGCTGTGCTGGGGTGTTTGCGGCTGAGAAAGCGCAACCCCGGGCGGAGGAGGTGGCCCCTGACGCGCGATCACGGTGGCGAGCTGCGGGAGACGCCGCCGGCCAACAGCCATGGGGGCGCCTCCCCTCGCAGGCGGGCGCGCTGGAGAGCCGTTTAGCGGGCGCCGCGGCCGCAATATAAGTTTGGTGCATGTGATAGGCTACAGACCCAGGCGCTCTGAAGTACAACCAATGAAGAATGCAAGGCCAACTGATGCGAGGCAAGCGCGGGTGTGCGCCCCGGAGCCACAGGCACGGCGGCAGAGGTGCCCCGGCCGCACCCAGTGCGGCCGACAGAGCAGCGGCGCAAAGGGCGGCCGCCGTGGGGGCGCGCGCCGGCTGCGCCGCGTTGGACGCAGCAGGTCTATGTGTGGTGGAGCTGCAGGAAAAGCCACCAAGGCATTCGGGGCAAGTGCACGCTGATGTGGGTCCATTCCATTCGCTGACAAGGCGCGAGGATCGCGACAAGCGCCGCGCCGCGCATGGTGGCGAGAGCGCCCTGCCACCCATTACAGGGCGGGCGGGCGCCATACAAGTAGTGGGTGGGCCGTCCCGACGCGCCGCGCCCCGCCTGTTTCAACCTGAGCAAAAAGACAGCGCAGGCCGGGCCGGCCATAAATATGGGGCGCGGCGGCCCCGCGGTGCAAGTGGACATGGAGGGCCCCTGGCCGCAGCAGTGGCGGCAGGCTGTGTGACCCGGGAGCGATGCGACAGCTGTGGGAGTAGGTACCGAATTCCCAGAGGCTCCAGCTGCCGAACTGGCCGGCTGCCTCGTGGGAGGTTGCGCCGCCAATGGGGATAGGTCCGGTCGGCCTTTCAGGCGGGACAAAATTGGGGCGATGCAACCGTGTGGCGCAGCGTGCAGGGGGCTTAAACGCGCACCAGCACAGGGATGGCAAATATAACAGAATGCATGGTTGGGGCCCAGGGCCAAAGACGGGATCGCCTGCTGCTAACGCCGCGGTCTGCAGGCCCGGGACGCCGCAGGGTGCTGTCACGCCGCCGCCTCGCCGCCGCCCAAGAGCGCGGGCGCCGCGGCGGCGCCGCCGGGCGCAGCGTCGGGGGCGGCGTCGGGCGCGGGGCGGCGGACGTACATCAGAATGTATGCCTGCGCCGCGGCAACCTCGGCCTTTGACACCGGGCGCACAGAGGCGTCACTGATATAGTACCATTGCTCCCCGCCCGCCGCGCCGGCGGCGCCGCGGCCGGCACCCAGCGCGCCGCCGATCGCGCTGAGTATGCCGCCGGCGCCGCCCTGCGCGGCGGC